TTTTTTTTTTTTTTTTTTTTTTTTTTTTTTTTTTTTTTTTTTTTTTTTTTTTTTTTTTTTTTTTTATTTTTTTTTTTATTTTTTTTTATTTTTTTTTATTTTTTTTTATTTTTTATTTTTTTTTATTATAATCATTTTTATAATTCTTTTTTTAATCATTATAAATACTGTATATAGGACTTAATGTATATATATATTAAATAGATTTTATGCTTTTTTAACATTATAAGGCTTAATAATTCTATCTTTCTTTTTTTTTTTGATATGAATGTAATCAAATGATTGATTTGCATCGAATTATTGAATAAAAAAAAATTTATTGCATTATTTCATTATGAAATTTGCTGTACTTCTACATGAATCTCCGTACTATATTTTTGCAATGATATTTATTATTCAACAGCTTACTATGATAGTGTTTGCCAAATAACCATATACTTATTATACCTATTTTTAAGCATAATGTTTTATAAATACTCTGTCTTTGCATTTAAAAATGTAATCGGTTTTACGAAATTACGTGCAGGGGCATTGTTTTGAATAATGGCCTGGATTAGGTTTATACGCGTTATTTTGCGCCTAATACCCCTTTAAAGTAATAATGACTCTTTTTATTTTTATTGTTTGGAGCATAGCAAAATGATCGTTCTTGATGTTTTGTTAATAAAAATATCAAAAAATATAACTTCAAAATTTTTTGCCTATTGTATTATGCAATTTATATTAAACAATGCATCAAAAAATCGACTATTTGTATAGAAATTGAGTCCTCCGCTCTGCTCTAAACAATAAAAAAAGTCGTAATTACTCTAAAGAGCATGTTACAACAAACCTAGCAAATATAATTTTTATTTGTATAGGTTTACCTATTCAAGAGTTATTGCAATTTAAATTTCATACATTCTCATTAATTACAATTATAAAAAAATTGCCACCTGCACTATGTTTGTAATTAGACACTCCGATTAGAGATCTATTGGAGCACAACTAATTGCTTAAACAATTATTTTTCAGCATTGATATCAAAATAAAGATATCATTACCTGCTTATTTTATCGGTTCAAATAAGTAAATGAAAGCTAAGGATTCATTTAATGTTTTAAACTAAGTTCTCATTAAACAAAATTTATTATCAATGAAATATTTAATTAGTTACAGTATAAGGTGTTTGGAAATCTTGTTTTTAAGCATTATCTTATAGAAACCTAAACTTATGTAGAAAACACCTTTTTTTATTAATACCATATTTCTGTTGTAGATTATTTATTTATTTATTTTTAAAACTTGGTCGAAGATATCTTAACATCTATCTACCTGGTCAACTTCCAAATTCGATGAATTTTTTAATTCAAACCTTCTAATATCTACAATTAAAACAAAAAAAAAGTTCATTAAATTTGGCTAGGTGATGTAGATATATTTGATAAAAATTTGAAAATTTTCAGCGTGATTCTACTTGAGTAGTTATCAAAACTCGAAGATATTTAGACGTCCATCTAGCCAACTTCAATGAAATTATTTTTTCAAATTCTAAGATCTCTCAATTAAAACAAAAAAGTTCATTGAATTTGGCCAGGTGAATGTTGAAATCTCTTCTATTAAAGTTTGAAATTTATTTCTATGCACTTTATTTAATAAACATTTAATTTTTACAAATAAGTTAGTTAAGATATCTAGACATCCACTTGGCCAAATTCGATGAACCTTTTTATTTGAATTCTACTAATTTCTCTTGTACAATTTTTTTTAAAAAACTATCAAATTTAGCTAGGTTGTTGGTTTCTTGATCAAAGTTTGAAAACAATATACAATACGCTTCTATTTAATAGAAGTTCAAATTTTTACAAACCTTAATTGAAGATATTTTGAAACCTCCTAGCCAAATTCAGTACTTTTTCTGTTTTAATTATAGTGATTGATAGAATACGAATAAAAATGAGTTTATTGAATTTGGCCAAGCGGGATAGAGATATTGATAACTTGAATGTCTGTCAAATAGAAATGCGTTGAAAATTGGTCTCGACATCCGCCTGGCAAAATTTGATGAACTTATTTTTTATTTGAATTCTACTGAACTCTATTATTAAACAAAAAAAAAAAAGGTTAATTGAATTTGGACAGGTGTCTTTAATCAAAATTTATAAAAATTAATATAATCATTAATAAAAGTTGTGAAAATATCCGTTATATTATAAATAGTTCTTTACAAATTGCAATTAAATCTCTGAAATGCAATATATATCTTTCTGATCTGAATTAAATTTCCGAATGCTGTCTTTCTAATCTGCAATTATATTCAATAGGGGGTTTCAAAGTTAAAATGCGGAAATCCAATTTTAATTGAAATTGATGACATATTTATTTTGAAATAAGTGATCCGGCAATCTGATCTTATCTTCAACTTGAATGAAAGTTTTACTTTTAATTTATTTATTTTTTATGAAGTATTATAAAAATTTTCTGATTTCATAAAATGGGAATCTTCAAACACTCCCATTTCACTTTCCAATTTTAAAAATTTTGAAAAACAAATAAGATTTTTCAAACTCTCATTTAATTTCAAAATGTGCCACTTATTTGTTAACTTTGAAACCCCCTAATGTCTAGAACTAATAAGCGAATAAAAATTTGTTGTTCCTTTTATTGAATACTTTGTAACTACACTTTCGAGTGATAAAGAAATAGCCTCAGAAAAAGGTTTATGTAAAAATAATTTTATAATTTGATTTGGAAGAAAAAAATATCATTTACCGTAAACTTCAGAAAATATACACTTACGATAAATAAGCACCATCATAAAAGATTTATGTTCTATAAATAAGCACAGTCAAATTATTGCGGTTTGCAAAATGATTTATTTTTGATAAAATTGATTCAAATAAAAAAAGTTCATCGAATTTAATCAGGTGGCTACTGAGATATCATCGCTCGAAGATTGTTTTTATCAAAAATAGAAGCTGCGCCAAATTCTTCCTATGATCAAATTTGATGAATTTTTTTTTATTTAAATTCTATAGATCCATAGGATTCAAATAAAAAAAAAATTCATCGAATTTGATAAGGTGGTTGATGAGATACCTTACATCAAAGTTTTAAAATATCAAAACGTCAAAAATAGAAGCTGTCAAATTTTTTCCTAAAACTTTGTACTATCTGATCAAATTCGATGAGTTTTTTTCATTTGAATTCTATAGATTTATAAAATTTGAATGAATAAAATTTTAACGAATTTGATCAGATGGTTGCTGAGAAATCACATACAATCATATACAATTATTTACAATCGATTGAATATGATTGTAAGTGATTTCTCTGCAACTATCTAATCCGCTAAAATGTTTTTATTTGAATTTTATGAATCTATAAAATTCAAATAAAAAACAATTCATCGAACTTGATCGGGTGGTTGCTAAGATATATTCGATTAAAGGTTTTTAAAATATTAAACATCAAAAATAGAAGCTGCGCCAAATTTTTCTAAACTTTGAGTGAAGATATTTTAGCAACCATCTGATTAAATTCAATGAAATTTTTTTTTTATTAGAATCGATGGATAAATGGATTCAAATAAAAAATTTTTCATTGAACTTGATCAGATAGTTGCTTAAATATTTTCACTTAAAGTTTTAGGAAAAACTTCTATTTTGATGTTATATGAAAATTCATAGTGCCCACCCTGATTTTGAAAGGTTCGGTCTAAAGTAATTACTGCGTAATAACAAGGCATTTAGAGAATATATTAAAATTTTGTTCTTTAAATATTTAGTTCAAATAAATGAGGACCTGTAAAGTTACTACATTTTTCACTCTTGTATTATAGGCAAATTTGATTTTTTAAAAAAAAAACTTTGAGCGAAGATTTCTCAGCAACAACCTGATCAAATTTGATGGAATTTTTTTATTTAATTCTATGGATCAATAGAATTCAAAAAAATATTTTTATCGAATTTGATCAGATAGTTGCTGAGATATCTTCGCTCAAATTTTTAGGAAAATTTTGACAGCTTCTATTTTTGACGATTTGATATTTTTAAAAAAAAACTTCGAGTAAAGATATCTCAACAACCAACTGATCAAATTTGACGAATTTTTTTTATTTGAATTTTATGGATCTATAGAATTCAAATAAAAAAAAATTTGTCAAATTTGATCACGTAGTTGCTGAAATATCTTTGTCAAAGTTTTAGGAAAAATTTGTCGCATCTTCTATTTTGACTTTTTTTTAAAAAAAACAATCTTCGAGCGATGATATCTCAGTAGCCACCTGATTAAATTCGATGAACTTTTTTTTATTTGAATCCTATAGATACATAAAATTAAAAAAAAAAAATTCATCAAATTTTATTAGACAGTTACTGAGAAATCGCAGTGATCTACTATTTAATCAAAAAATAAATCATTTTGCAAACTGCAATAATTACGTTTCTCAATTATGGAGATATTTAATATCGATTTTCAAATAACTAGTAAATAAGCACCTATTATTAATTTTCCGAGTTTTACAGTAATTAAAGTTCCGATTTTAACTCGTTTGCCCAGTATACATGTTCTTAGTGTCATGGCCTGAGGAGATTTATGTGCTTCGTTGTCATATTTAACCTTTAGACCGTGATTAAGATATAGGGTATCGTTTATCAAAACGCTACTAGAAAGATCCGAAAAGTTGTTACATGATGATAAAATATTAAATTATATCTAATTGTAGCATGGGTACGTATCATTAACCAAACGCATACATATTACCTTTTATTTTTAATAAAAAAGTAATATACATTCGATTAATGACACCCAAGACATTCTTTATCATTTCATGAACAATTTGTCGGGTCTCTTTACATTTAGCGATCCTTTATATATGTTTTAACTAAATGATTCGATTACCAATAATGAGAAGAGAAGCAATGAAAGAAAGAATTATTTACAAGAAATGTGATGGTGGGAACTCACTAACGTGGGAATAATCATTACCCGAAATGAAGTAATAATTGATAACGGCTATTTAGTAATGATTCGCTAACGCTAAAAGGGACGATAAAAGAATACCAATTTTGGAAGCCGTCTAAAGCCATATCGATATGGGTTGTTTCCCAGCAAAACCATGTTTAGAATATATAAAAAAATATATACTCTAAGCTATAGTTGTTAGACAAAACCTCGAGGTTTCGCACTGATAAAACACGAAACCTAGTTTTGTTTTTCGTCAGAAATTCGAAATTGCAAAGGGTGACACAACTAATAAAGACGAAGATACAGTTAAAACTCATTAAAGATAATGTGAACAAAAAATAAACCAACAAAATCAAAAATTACAAAAAATTTCTTGTATAATATGCGCTTGAATTGTTAGAGGGTGTTAGAAATGGGTATACTAATACACTACATATCAGTTTTAGTGAGAAATCGCATGGTGCTTACTTTGTGTTACAAATTTATTTGTGTCATTATGTTTTCATTAATTATTTGTGTTTACTACAGTATGGCTTTTTTGACAAGGTTATTTCAACTGTCTATAACTACCCTAACGTTGACCAGAAAAAATGAGCTGGATTATTTTGCTGGCTTGCATGTAATTTCAGATACTGATCTCTAAATAAATTATGAATGTTTATTCAATGAAAATATATTTTTTTTAGCGGGAGCATTAAGGTTTCGTCATTTTTAGTTAAAGGTTTTGTCTTTCGTCAGAAGAATTTGGGGTTCGTCTTTTGGAGGTTTAGGTTTCGTCTTTTGTCATCATACAAAAAAGGTTTCGTCTAACAACTATACTCTAATCATGGTTTTGCAACAACTTGTATAGTTTTTAAACTGATTACCAAATTAAATTATCGTGCAAACTCGTATAATCATAGTTTTTTTTTTTGTTATTTTTTTGTACGTTTTACATAAGCACAACAATCTCGAATTAAGCCAATAATGACTTGTAAATCAGATCATAATTGTACAATAACATCGATATTGGATCATGCGATGATAATTATCATAAAATTTTTCTGCCGGAACAAATGGTTGGCTGAATGTGCCGCTGCGTGGCACAGGTCAGCCAACTATTTGCTCTGACAAAACAAATTTCATGATATTAATCGTTGCATGACCAATATCTTATAAATCACATGCATATAAATTGCTACCTGATCCCTAATTTTGGCAATGTTAATACAGTGATAGAGAAATACGTAACATATGAAAAAATTTCGCATGACATTAGCTATTTATTTATTTAGATGAATTAAAATAACTATTTCGCTAGATTATTATATTATAACCGAAATATCCATTTTGATATAAGCATTTATAAGTTTTTTTCTCTCTGTATGATTTCTTAATTAATTTAATGTGAAAACAGTTAATAATATTGACAGAGTGAAAGCTGCATCACCAACTAGTAAAACCCGCGTTGATTGGCTAAATTGTGAAATCATTTAAAATAAAATATGTGTAAAAAATATAAATTCTTTAAATGTAAAACCTGCTTTTTAACAACATTAACATTTTCTCGACGTTTATTTTGGGGTAATTTCTGGTAGGTCTGTTTAAACTTATAAATTTCAATTTGTTGATTAATGCTTTGGTGTATCCTTATAAGCCACCACATTGCCCATTTTATCCAAAAAGGAAATTGTTTATTCAAACATTTTTATATAGTACTTGTGCTAGTGCTTGAGTGTTATTTATCAGTTCTGGTGATGTTTTACTAAGAATTTTTTATCAAATTCATGTTGTATTTATAGTGAAAAAAATACACTGCTTTATATTTTTTAAGTAAATATTTGCAATTTATTTGCTTTGTTTATTTTTGACAAATAATAGTAATAATTTTTTTATATAAATTTATTGCATTCAATTTTTTATTTCTTGTACTAACTGAAATCTAAAACATGATTATTTATCATAGCACCAAATATATTTAGAATGAATCAAAAACAACTAACAATATATAATTATTACTCAAAACCAAAAAACATAATTCAAACTAAAGAAATATTGAAGAAAAAGATTAAAACCTATTTGGTAAGAAAAAATAGATAGTAGTTAAATATATTCAGAATTGAAAACAACTAACAATATATAGTAATTATCTAGAAAAATAATATAAACTGAAGAAATATCAAAATAAATCTAATAAAAAAGAATAGATAGTCATTAAATATATTTATAATCAAAAACAACCAACAATATATAGTAATTATTCAAAGCTAGAAAAATAATTCAAGCTAAAGAAACATTAAAAAAAAAAAATCAAACCCTATCTAGTAAAAAAGAATTATTCAGAATCAAAAACCACTAACAATATATAGTAATTACTCAAAGCTATAAATATAGTTCAAGTCAAAAAAAATATTAAATAGAAAGATCAAAATTTATTTATAAGAAAAATAAGTGATATTTAAATTTATTTAGACTTAAAAACAACTAACAATATATAATAATCATCCAAAGCCAAAAACATAATTCAAACTAAAAAAATATTAAAGAGAAAGATTAAAACCTATCAAAAAAAAATAGATAGTAGTTAAATATATTTAGAATCAAAAGCAACTAACAATATATAGTGATTACCCAAAGCCAAAAAAATAATTCAAGCTAAAAAAAATATTAAAAAAAAAAATTAAAATCTATTTAGTAAGAATAGATAGTGGTTAAATATATTCAGAATTAAAAATAACTAATAATATATGGTAATTATTCAAAGCTTAAAATATAATTCAATCTGAAGAGGAACTCTTTCTGACAATCTCTTGAACTAACTTTTCAAAACAAAAAATTTCAACAAAAATAGTAAAACTATATTAAAAAAGAAGAATATAAAACTGATAAGAACTATAAACCAGCACCTATTATTTAGAGATAGTTTTTATATGATATCTGCTAATAGATTTAGAGCTTAACTCTTACTATAGGAACAGCACTTGTTATTTAGAAGTAGTTCTCATACACCACTTGCTAACAAGTTTAGAGTTTATCACTTACCAAAAACAATATCAGCAGTATGCTTGGATCTACTTGTCTTCTTAATTTTAAAGAAATATATATTCTCTTTTAAGAAAAGTATAATGTCTATACTCTTTACTATTACTCACTTGTGTTTACAACAAAATTTTTTAAAAAAGTGGGCAAAATAGCTTACTCCCATTAAAAGATTGCTATTGTTTACTTCTTCCAAATTCAGTCAACCTAGTAAATTGCAACTATATGTTTTATTTAATAACAAACTTATTACTATATTATACAACAGATCTATTGTCTAGTTCACAGTTATAGGTTTACTCATAATTGATTATATAGTCAGAAAGAAACTAATTTGTTAAGGTGAAGTCTTACAGTAGAGATATACAGATATTGTATTTGTTATATAATTTTTAAAGCCTCGTACAGGTTACAATAATACTATTAAGTTTTTTTTTTTTTTGTTATTTTTTTTTTTTCAAAATCTGTGCTTTATTTTTTTTTTTAGTTATTTTTATTAAAAATATTTTTTTTATTTTCTCTTTTGTTTTATGCCCTTTGAGAAAAAAAAAATTAGGAGAGAAATTATTCCTAATATTTTAGTTCTTTAAGAGCTAATATTGGATACAAAAAGATAAAAACCTCTTTTGAACAAAAGGACTTTTTTTTTAGCTTATTCATAAACTTTTGTAATAGGTTGCATCTAGATATTAAAATAAGCAACTTGGTGAAGTTGGGCTTTAGATTAGTCTTAAAAGTAAATGTATATAAATTGTATATGCTAATAACTAGTGTTGTTATGGGACAGCTTTGGACAATACTTTAGACAATCTTAAACAATCTTTGACAATTAAATAAGGTAAAATTACTTAAAATTTTATTAAGATAACCTATTTTAATTTTAATTAAAATGAATTTAGCATCTAAAAAAATATATAGTTATATATTTTTTAAATAGATTTATTAATTATTAAAGCCTAAACAAGCTTTAAATAATCTGGACACTTGGACAATTTTGGATATAGACAAATCAAAAAAGGCTATAAACAGCCAAAATATACAACACTACTAATAACTAAGAGATCAAGCTATAGCAAGACTTATCAAAAAAATCAAAAAAAAAAATTCAATTTAAAAAAATATTAAAAAAAAATTAAAATTTATCTGATAAAAAAGAATAGATAGTAGTTAAATATATTCAGAATTAAAAACAACCAAAAATATATAATAATTATTCAAAGTTAAAAACATAATTCAAGCCAAAGAAATATCAAAGAGAAAAATTACAACCTACCTAGTAAGAAAGAATAGATAGTAGTTAAATATATTTAGAATTAAAAACAACTAACAATATATAGTAATTATTTAAAGCCAAAAAAATAATTCAAGCTAAAGAAATATTAAAGAAAAAGATCAAAATTTATTTGGTAAAAAAGAATAAGTAGTAGTTAAATATATGAGGTAAAGTTAATAGAAAAAAACAATTTTTTTTTAAATAAAAGTTTTCTAGCTTTAAGCTAAATATTTTAGCAATTATTTTATTAAATTTTATAATTTTTTTTATTTTAATTTTATATAATTCCAAAATTAAAATAAAAAAAAATTTAACAAATTTGATTAATTAGTTTTAAGATATTTTAATTTAAAAATTTAAAAATAATTTGTTTTTTTTTTATTAATTTTACTTTATATTTAGAATTAAAAACAACTAATAATTAATACTTAAAATATAGTTATTAGTTAGATTTTACAAGCCCAGCAACTTAACATTTATTCTATTATTATTGGCAATTTTAATATAGTCTAAACTCCTTATAATCACATATTTGGAATATAAAACAGTATAATTGTAAAGAAGTATGACAATTATAGAGGTTAAATTTATTATATTTAATTGTTCAGAGCATAGCAGAGGATATTTAGTATTTATATATAGTGATACCAAAATTACATTATGGATGCATTAAAAGTTACTATTTTGATACACTACTAGGAAATATATCAGAAATGTAATTTTTAGTTTTTTTGCCTGTCTGCACACATATCTAAATTTGTATTTTGGTGTTATAAAAACAAACACATTTTTACAAAATTATAATAGGCTCCAGATACACAATGCTATGCA